ACCTCGGGTTGTTATGCCCAGGAGCCTAGTAATTCAGGTCCTAACTAATATCCATCGTGAACAGTGCTATGTGGGCCAGGTGAAAATAAAAGTGCCAGCCAGACAGCGATCCTGGTGGCCACATCTACGCGAACAGGTGATCCCATTTTGCAACGGATGCCCTGCCTGCGCTTTCTTTAAAGCGTCTCACCAACGTTTTCGCGTGCCCCTACAATCCATTCCAACGGGTTTCTCATCCCAAGGAGTTGGTATGGGCATAAGTGCACCTCTACCCTACTCCACCTCGGGACATCAGTATATTTTAGTTATGGTCAACTATTTAACCAGATGGGCAGAAGCAGTGCAACCCCGCGGACAGGATGCCTTATCAGTCACAACTGCCTTCCCCAACGACTGGGTCTGCCTTTTTCGCGCTTCTCTCCCCTTTGCGGGGCCAACTTTGGAAGTAAACTAGTGCGTCATGTACGCGACCGACAACGTATTCACTAGACAAGAACAACCACGGCGCACCCAGAGTGACGAACTAGGTGAGCGCGCGAATCGGAGTCTCATAAACCCTTTAAAGTAGTTTGCTAAACACCACTGACCCCTCAACAGGAATGCCAGGCTGCCGTACTCTTTGATGACTTATCGGTCACCGAACGAAACTTTCGACTACCCACTGATTCACACTTAATTATCGCAAATCCAAATAAATATTCTCAGGTTCTCATATACTCGAACTCCAGGACATTCTACGGACCACCCATAATTTAGCACGCAGTCACTTAAGCTCTACATACCATAGACAAAGAGAAAACTTCGATACGCAAACACATGGAATACCTTACCAAGAAGGCAATCGTGTGTGGCGTTACTGACCTATACCGCCTGTAGACATACACACAAAGATCATGCACCAGTGGGAAGGACCATTCCTCCACATAAATCATATGCGACGGCCCGTCGGCCAAGAGTCTACGTATTGTTCACGAATATTTGGCTCTAGAACCGTTGGAAGAAATCACCGTAAAGGAACCACTATTCTAAATACATCAGGACCCTGTGGACAGGCCCCGCGCCTAGCCGGCGGAAATGTGAGTGAGTCAAGTGAACTGATTACCGTTTCGTTTTAACTTCACGGAGGGAAAAAATACACAGAGACCCGGTTGAAGCGGCAGTGCGGCTTACACTGTTTTTATTTTTGGTAATCGGATCTTCTGCCGAAGTCGGCGTCTCACTCCCTGTGGCAGCCTCCCACTATACGCCCCTTATTTGGCCAAGTAACTGACCAGGACTTTGTTGTCAGAGCCGTCTCCCCTTTCAGCCGTGAATGAAGGTTTTATCGTCCCATGTGCATTCCCGATTCGTCAATTATTCTACCATTGTCAGTATCCATCGTGTAAACAGACTGACCTCTACATTCCCCTCCACTTGACGATTGATGGTATAAACACTTGCGCAACCATGTCCGTACAGAACATGGGCGATCCCGAGTGCCAACGCGTCATCTCCAAGATGCGGATGCAGGGCGCTTCCTCGTCAGTGGTGGGACAAAGGGTATGGAAGACACGACGAGCGGCATACGTGCGAAGTCGTGTGTACTTGTTCTTTGCCCGATAGCGTGGTCCCATAAAACCCATTTTTTGGCATCAAGGACTTTATAGGCCACAGTACGGACGAAAATATTCAGAAAAACAGCGCTGCTAAATTTCGACCTAGTAACGGGAGTGGGGATAAGCATGCGAAAAATCACAAACGACCACGAGACAGCTTTAGCGCAGACTACTTACCACACACCAGAATCGTAAATGGCGCCCGAAGCGGTTCACGTGAACGAGGGGTGTGTTACGAACCTACCCGCTCACCGGTAATTTTTCTCACTCAATACTTTTATTTCCTTTTTCAGGGCCGCGTTCAACGCCCACAAACAACCCGAACAATAACAAGGGTCCTGATAACGTTCAATTTGTCTAATGTTTCCCCTTGTTTATGCAGCCGGCTGCGTTCCCCCCTTTCGTAATCTTATTGTTAGGGCTTAGATTGCTCCTATCGGTTTTCTCCCCCTCTTCTGTGCCCCTTTATTATCTCACTCGTTATTATAACAGTATCCCATTCGGGATATATCCTTCTATTGTTTGATGTGTGGTGTCTGCGTGCGGATCACTGAGGCACTTATTACTCAGTTCCCGTAGGTCGTCACAGGTGTGTGATGCCTTTTGTGTTCAAATTAAAGTGTTTAAATCTTTATTAAGCCTCTTAGAGATTTCCGTACCTCTACTTTAAGACTGTTGAGGGATTAGAGCACTAAAAAAGCACTAGAGTCGGCCTAGCATTGACCTTGGCCTAACCGTGAAGGACCGTGTATTCCGTGAACTGTGCGTAATTCGAGTTCCTAAATCGACATCCGATTTTTATTTTCTGTTTCTTGACAGAGCCTTCATGCATATTTGCTTTTCTCATTTATTGCTTTTTGGCGACGGTATGTTTATATGCGGTGTGTAGGGGTGCCTAGCTGTGGGTCCACGTGACGATCGTTGTGGGTCGCTCGCTGGCTTGCAGGTATAGATTATGTCTCGAGTCCATTTGCTGGCACCAAACTCTCACCTATGGCTCCCCGAAGCTATGTTCCGCCTATCAACCACACCCCGGTAACCGCCTCGGCCGGTGGGCTAAACCAGGCGAGGGCATCCGTCTGTGTTTCATCGCACACGGTAATCTCGGTTCCGCTGGCCGGATGGATCACCTCATCGGCATCTCCGAGATGATGCTCCGTCTTGAAAACCGTAGAAGGCCACAAAGTAGGTGAACACCCAGGTAAGCGAACATAGCTCTGCTTTCTTTGCTTTCGCTTGTTCTTGTCTGCTAGATCTATGTCTGCTTGTTCGTGTTTGTCCTTGTTGAAAGCTAAAGACCGTTCTGCTGAATTTTCTGTGTTGCTATTCTTGCCTGCTTGCCTTTGGCCTGCATGTTTGCGTCCGTCCTTACTGTAAGCTAGATGACGTTCTGTAGAATTTGTCTACTTACGTTTATATTTCACCAACCAGGTAGCATACAGAGGGTGGGAAAGCTCTGCTTCCCGTCTCTCTACTCTTCTCCTGTCGCCTCCCCCTGTAAGCCTAACAGCGTGTTCGTAGGCGGGTCCAGGCTAACTTGGACCGTCCTCCCATTAAACAAAAGTCGTAGCTCATAGTGGAGTACGACAGCCGTTTGGGACAACTGAGCAGCCCTATTTAGCGAGAGCACTGCTCACCCCTGCGAGCGGGAAGGGGCTAGAAAAGGTGCACTAAACAAATGCTGGAGACCCACGCCGTCTGCAGACTGACCGCGGCCTCAGACGCCAAACTCACAGTCGAAACAACCAAATAAGAAACAAGACTATCTTTTTCCCTCCTTCTCCCCTCCGCTCCACTTGCCAGACTGGTAGGGTGAGTTTACTCACTCTGGCAGTCTGGAATTTTCGTTCCGTTTCAGACAATCTGAGGAACAATCGACCGGAACAGAGGACAACGAAAGTGGCTCAGGAACTGGCGCGTTACAAGGTGGACATCACCGCACTCAGTGAGAGCCGGCTCTCCGAACAAAGCAAACGGGAAGAGGTGAATGCCGGCTGCACCTTCTTCTGGAGCGGTCGCCCCAGGGCACAGCGAAGGGATGCGAAAGTCGCCTTTGCCATCCGGAACGCCATCGTGGGACGACTGCCCTGTCTGCCGCAGGGCATCAAAGATCGTCTGATGAGCCTCCGCCTGCCTCTCCGCGGAGGCAAATTCGCCACAATCATCAGTGTCTACGCCACCCTGATGACCAGTCCTGATTCTGTAAGGGCGAAGTTCTACGAGGACCTGCACGCATTCCTGGTGTCTGTGTCGAAGGCGGATAAGTTGATTTTCCTTGGTGACTTCAACGCCCGCGTCGGCATAGACCATGCTGTCTGGAGAGGAATGCTAGGTCCCTATAGTCTTGACGACTCCAACGACAATTACCTGCTCCTCCTACGAACCTGCGCCGAACACCGACTCATCCTGACCAACACTTAGTTCGGTCTTTCGATGCGAGAAGTGGCCACCCGGATGCACCCTCGGTCGCGATGTTGGCACCCGATGGACTATGTCCTCGTCCGGAGGCAAGACCGGCAGGACATGCTGGTGACAAAGGCGATTCTGGGTGCAGACGGGTGGACCGACCATCGTCTCGTCATTTACAAGATGCGGATTCGACTACAACCTCGTAGGGGATCTCAGGGCAGCGACCCCCAGGTAATCTGAGTATTGTTTTGGTGTCTTTGTTTGCTCACCTTCTCCGTTTCCTCAACGAGATAGCTCAACGTTTAGCCAACCTTCCAGTCGCTGCTGCCGCCGCCGCTGACGTAGCCGTCTCCGTGGAAACCCGATGGAATCAACTGCGGGACACAGTCCAGTAGACGGTTCCGGCTGTCCATGGTCGCGCATGCCGCCAACACCAGGACAGGTTTGCTGACAGCGACGCCGCCATAAGCGTCCTGCTCGCCGGGCGGAAACGCCCACACAAAGTCTACGCCGACCGCAACACCGACGACAACAAAACAGCCTTCTGCCGTACCCACCACCCTGTGCAACAGCGGCTGCGCGAGATTCAGGACGCCTGGACGATCCAAAAGACCGAGGAGATCCAAGGATACGCGGACCGCAGCGAATGGAAGAACTTCTTCTCTGCGATCTAAGTCGTCTACAGTCCGCCAACCAAAGATACTGGACCTTTTCTCAGCGCCAACGGCAGAACCTTACTTAATTCAATTCAATTATTTTTATTAAAGACCCGTCGGGGTCCCATCAAAGTGAGACGATACGAATTCTACAGCGACGGGTCGAACACTTCAGAGGGGTCCTCTGCCGCTCCTCCACCATCTCCGACGACACCCTTGCCCGTCTGCTTCAAGTGGAGACCAAAGTCAAACTCCATCTCCCGTCCCCTCCCCACAAAACTATCAGGGCCGTGCAGCAGCTCTCCAGCGGGAAAGCGCCCGGATCGGAGGTGATCCCTGCTGAGATCTACAGGCACGGTGGCCCCTAACTCATGGATCATGTGGCGTCAAGGAGAAGTCCCGGGATTTCAAGGGCGCCAAAATCCTCCACCTACACAAGCGGAAAGGTAACCGCCAGCCCTGAGGCAACCACCGAGGCATACCCCTGCAGAACATCGCCGGGAAAATATTTGCTCGCATTCTTTTCAGCCACTCGAACAACCATCTGGAGCAAGGTCTCCTGCCGGAAAGCCAGTGCGACTTCCACCGTTATCGTGGAACCACGAACATGATTTTCGCCGCACGCCAACTGCAGAAGTATCAGGAGATGTGGACCCACCTGTACTCTACCTTCGTTGATCTGACGAAAGACTTTGATACGGGGAGTAGCGAAGGACTGTGGAGAATCATGCAGAAATTCGGCCGTCCCGAATGATTCAATCAGATGGTGCGTCAGCTCCATGACGGCATGAAGACGCGAGTCACGGACAATGGGGCTGTCTCAGAGGTTATCACAGTGACCAACGGAGTGGAGCGTGGCTGCGTCCTCGCGGCTATTCTCTTCAGTCTCATGTTTACTGCCATACTGATGGACGCCTTCCTCGACGAACGCCCCGGGATCCGCATCGTCTATAGGACTAACGGGTCAACTGCTCAACCACCCGAAGATACATTTTCAATCGCATGTATCCACAACCACCGTCCACGAACTTCTGTTCGCCGATGACTGCGCGCTCAATGCAACTACTGAGGGAGACATGCAGTGGGGCATGGATCTCTCCTCCGCCGCTTGCGAGAACCTCGGTCTGGTCATTAACACGGAGAAGACGGTGGCCATGCATCAACCGCCACCCAACACTGCCCACAATGCGCCGCAGCTCAGCGTGAATGGAACCCATCTGCAAGTGGGGGACAACTTCACTTATCTAGGCAGCACTCTCTCCCGCAGCACCAAAATCGACGACGAAGTGGCCCACCGGATTTTCAAGGTCAGTCAAGCCTTCTGTTGTCTTCAAAACACAGTTTGGAATCGTCACGGTCTTCAACACAACACTAAACAGAAGATGTACAGGGCCGCCATCCTACCGACGTTGCTATATAGAAAAAAGACCTGGACGGTGTACATGAAGCAGGCGCGGAGGCTCAATCACATCCACCTGAGCTGTCTCCGGTGAATACTGAAGCTAAGGTCGCAGGACCGAATCGCCGACACTGACGTAATGGAGCGGACGGCAATCCTCAGCATCTATATCATGCTTAGGCATCTGTAACTGCGTTGGTGCGGCTACCTCGTGTGGATGAACGACAAGAGGCTACCCAAAAGACTCATCTATGGAGATGTCGCGACGAGTTCACGCCGACAAGGAGGTCAAGTTCGGCGCTACATGGATACTCTGAAAACCTCCCTGAAGCGCCTGCAGATAAACCCGGCAAACTGGGAAGACCTCGCCAGGGACCAACCTATGTGGAGGAGAACAGCGAAGGCAGACGCAGCAATCGCTGAAGTCAACCGCATTACCGCCGCCTAGCAACGCCAACCCTCAATCGCCTCCCGCGTGTTCGAGATGTCAACGGACATTTCGGACGCCAAATGGATTTGTTGAACACCTCCGGACCGACTGCATCACTCGAACTGCACTAACCGTCGTCTCTCCGTCCGCCACTCCCTCGCCTCTCACGCCGTCCGCTAACGCCGATCACACTCTTGAACCTCCACTATCACTCCGTCCTTCTCCTCCTC